AAATAAAACAAATGCAGTGATGTATGGGGTACCTCTAAATGCTTTGAACATTCTGTCTTTACAAAACCACAACTGACTGACCACTCTAGCCAGTCTTACTAAATAACATTGCTTGAAGCACCATCCTATATCACTTATAAAAACTATATACCATACAGTGGATTGTAACAAATACTATTTTCTGTTTAATAATTAGAAATTGGATCTAATTGTCAGCTCACATCAACTTGCTTGATTCTTTGTGCCTTAGGTCTGTGACTACAAAAGATGATTTTGGTGTCTTTCATTCTTTATTTCCAGCCCCTCTTCATCTTTCCTTCCTCCTTTGTTCCATCATTCCTTTCCTCTGACTTTACTTCCTTCCTCTTCTTCTTTCCTCCTTCCTTCTTTGCTTTGTTCCTGTTTCTTTTCCTTTCCCTCCTCGCTTCCTATCTTCCTTCCTTCGTTCCTTCCTTCCTTCGTTCCTTCCTTCCTTCGTTCATTCGTTCCTTCCTTCCCGCCCTCCTCCCTCCCTTTTTCTATCTTGCTTTCTTTTTCCTTTCCCTTCCCTCCCTTCCTTCGTTCCTTCCTTCCTTCCTTGCTTCATCTTTCTATCTGTCTGAACTGGAATTTGAACTGAGGAGCCTTGTGCCTTTATTGCTGCTTCATCATCTTTCAACCTAAAATTCTTTAACTTGATTTTGTTATGCTGTATGTTATATTATTTTCTCTGTTATTTCACATTATCTGGATCTTCTCTATTCTCTTCTTCTCACCCTGCTTTCTATCAGCTTTATTCCTGTACATCCTCCTGTTTTTCTCCTTTGCCTAGTTTTGTTCTCAAGTACTACTTTTTCCAACGAATTTAATTCCCATTCTTCATAACTATTATCTTATTTCATGGAATATTACCTTACGTCCTGTTTTCATCTACTCTTTTTAGAATTGGGGAATAATTACTTTTGTCTGGGGGCTGCTCTTTTTATTTCCATGGCTGCTTTGTCTGTCAGCTATGGAATGAAGCCGGTTCATCACCCACTAGGAAAACACTAGACGACATAACCCTTGAAATGTTCATTTCACACACACACACACAGATTTCATCAAGTCCAATTGGAGAAATTCCATTCCAAAGAATGATTCCAAGAATGAGGAACATATACAAATACAATGCACCTACCTCTGCCTTCCATACAGCCTGGATTATAGGTGTATCCCATATGCTTAGTTTCCCCATGGAATTGATGGGGTCCTTCCATGATGTGCATGTAAACCTGAGTGACTTAGTCATGCCTGTGCATAATTAGCTTTTACTTGTGTTCCATGTGATCTCACATCACATCTATAGATAGCCCTTTGCAAGACAGCCCAATGCAAGATTTGTCATAGAAGCAGAGAAGAAAAAGATGCTCATGGAAGAGGAAGACAGATTTCTTCAGTCAAACGGCAGAGGAGGTTAGAGGCTATGAAATGAGCTATTGTGTATTCAGAAATAGCCAGGGATTCTTAGGAGCCTTCCATCTTTAAGACAGAAAAGCAAAGCAGTATGGCCAAAGAAATGAGCCTCAGGTTTTTCTGAACCTATCCATGTTCTGGTGTTGAGCAGATGGCAGCTCTGGAGAGATCTCCGTTAGAAGTAAGGACACCCTGACAAATCGGAATTTGTGGCTCTGTGTTTGTGGCAGAATTCTTGTCTTCTGCAAGTGAGGAGTCAGTCATTTCCTGTAATTTTGTGACTAAAAGCTCTCTGGTCAAGGTCCCAGGAATGCTTCCACCCATTCTTTATCCAAGTCCTTACTCTCAGGTAGGGTTATGAACACTATATTTACTCAAGTCCAATAATGCTGACTATTCTCTCAATTGCTCCAGTCCCATTCCAAGTGTCCAGTAGCCACCTGTGACTATGGGGTTGCAGAGCATTCGGGGGATGTTAGTCACAACAGAAAGTCCTACTGCACAGCAGTGTGCAGATAGAGCTGGCTAGCCTCCTCAACCTATTGTTTCTACCTCCTGTTTCCACATGTAGCACACAAAAGCAGTTCACAGACTCAGGCCAAAACTACCACTTTTGTCATCTTCTGTGGCTGTGACCAAACACCTGACCAAAGCCTATAAAAGGACAAAAGGATCCTTTTGGTCCAAGGTTTTATGGATTTCCATCCATGGTCACTTGGCCCCCTCTCTTTGAGCCTGTGTGGAGGCAGAAATCATGACAAAGCTGTTGAGCTGGTGATGGTCAGGAAGCAGAAACGACATAATGGCAAAGCCAAGGTCCCAACAACCCTTCCCATGGGGACCCCATGACTTCACTTCCTTTTGCTTCTTAAGTAACACCAGAGGCTAGTGGCCAGCCTTGAGCACATGGGCTCTGAAGCAATTTCAGTTCCAGGTATTCATAGATATTGGATGGAGCTCAGAAGGTTGTATGCTAACATTCCCTGAAGAGTCTTACAGATCTCCGACCTTCCCCCTTCCTCATGCCTGATAAACATTACATGAGATTGGACACATGACTCATGCATGCCGTCCCAGCTAGTGGGGAGGCAGCAATTGGGAGGAACACACTTCAGGGCCAGGCTGAATAAAACTGTTAGCATGACCCTACCTCAAACAGTAAGCTGGGTGTGGTGTGGCGGCATGCACCTGTGCGTGTAGCTCCATGGATGACTGCAGGTTCAAAGGATCCTGGTCCAACCTGAACTAGGAAAAACTAGGAAGGGATATGATAGATTTGCCTGAGAGAAGAGTAGGGAGTAAATTACCAGTGTGGTATGTCACCAACAATGATAAAAACTAACATCATATAGGGCACTGGTGGCTCATGCCTATAATCCTAGCTCCTCAGGAAGCTGAGATCTGATGAGTGCAGTTCAAAGTCAATCTGGGTGGGAAAGTCCGAGAGACTCTTATCTAAAATGAACCACGAAAAAGCCAGAAGTAATAGCCTTGAGCATAAAGTTTAGGGGCAGTGCCTATGCCCTGGGTTCAAGCCCCAGGATCAACACACACACACACACACACACACACACAAATTATGACACAACTAACCTCACATCTCAGTATATAAGAATTAGGGAAAGGGGCTGGGAAGTTGGCTCAGTGGTAGAGCGCTTGCCTTGCATGCCTGAGGCCCTGGGTTCGATTCCTCAGCACCACATAAGCAAAAAGAAAAAAGCCGGAAGTGGTGCTGTGGCTCAAGTGGTAGAGTGCTAGCCTTGAGCTGAAGAGCTGAGGGACAGCACCCAGGCCCAGAGTTGAGGCCCCATGACCGGACCCCCAAAAAAAAAATTAGGAAAAATATTTTATCTCAATGACAAATATGTTAGTAGATTAAAATAAGAATTTGTATGCTACAGACAGTGGATAACAAGTCATCTGTAGTAGATGCAATGGCAATACACAATTTTATTGATCTCAAATACATTTTTTCTTTTTTCTTTTCAGGTAAGGCATAGGTTTATTCATCCTTCTGGCTGACACCTGGCCATCTTGACCCTCAGTGGGGGGTGGGGGAGGAGGAGGAGAAAGACCTGGGAAAGAGCTAGAAAAAGCACTAAATTTTTTCTTATAAAAGCTCTACGAAAAGATTGTAAATTGTGGTACATATTTGCTGCTTATAATCCAATAAAACTGGAAATTCCCGATAAATGGCTGAACCAAAATATCCACTTAAAAGGATACTTCTTTCTCAATGATCTTTGAAGACAAAATAAGGAAAGCTATCTGAAAGCTCCTCACAGGAGAAAGGAAACATTTCTCTTTACAACGAAACATTGTATCTTCAGCTTTGTTTCCCCTCTCATCACATCCAGCACTGATGCTGTTAGGTCATTCATTTGGGCAGTGATTCCATTAGGAAGTTGGGTTGACTATTCTATTCTTGCATCTGATAGAATTTACCATTTCATGAAAGGTAGCTTTCATGCAAAATCTGAACTCCACTGTATGGTCATGGATATGAAAGCTTATATTTTGACCGTCTTAGGTTTCAACAGTCTGCAAGGATATCTGGAATGACAGTGTGTATCTCAGTTGTAGAAGGTTGAAGATCTCAGGCTCCTGAGACACTGAAATTGCAGATGTGAGTCACAAGCACCTGGCAGGTAATTTACAGTAGAGGATTGAAACAACATTAAGTGCATTAACCTCTATTGATCTCTTGCTGGGCTCCTTTGCTACTGCTCTGTGGAGGAGTCTAGAAGCATAGTCCCCACTTTCCTTCCTGGTCATGTGTGTCTGCTTGGCCAGATGGAATTTTGTTCACTGCAACTCTGGTATTGTAAACACAAAGGGGAAGTGCTCTTGCCATGGCTTTCTTCAACTGTGTAATGGAGAAAAGATAATATATCTTCTTCCTGTAACTGGCATAAGAGCTCAGGAGGGCAACTATTGAAGAATTACTTGAACTCAAAGAAATGATGAGTCAAGAGGGTTTATATTCCCTTAGGAAACTGTGAGTGGCTCTGGCATTTGACTGATGTGCTTTCTGTGATCTGTATCTTCTCCTTTACATGTTTCCCTGGGTTTCCCTTTATCAGTGTGCTTATAGTTTTAGGCAGGTACTTGCTTTGGAAGAACTGTGATTTTGGTCTGACTACGTTTAGCTCTTCTTGCAGCTCAGCAGTGTCTCCCTCCCTGAAGCACTGCCCTGGGTCTGGTGTGGCCTCATTTGATTTCCCCCCAGGGTCCTGCATGGTGACTCCAGTCCCTCCCAGCAGGTTGAGGTGGATTCCCTGCCTGCACAGGAGCCAGCAGCTTCCCACACAGATGATGGCTGTTGCAAAGGAGACATTTCAACACTCAGATTTCCAGGCGTGTGGAACAGTTCATGAGAACACCTGACTGAAAGCCTAGCCCCTAGAGGGACCTGCTCTTGCTCATTCTGCAGGAAAAAAATGAGCTCAAAGCCTGAAAGGATTTCTTCTTAGAACAGAATATGCAGAAGTCTCTGCCATTAAGGAAGGCAAAGAAAAGCACCCACCAAAACCTTGCTCTTGTAAAGAAATGGTTTTAACACGCTATTAGTGTTTCCACATAGGTTTTTAATCTAAATGACCTGACATTTGAGTCTTTGTGCATTGTGCAACGCATTTCCCATAACTCATTGGAGAATATGATTTTCTCTGGTTGGAGTGCACGCATCTTGGCTGAAGAAAGGACAGCCTAGGATACAGCCCCATGCCCAGCTCTCCGGGAGGGCTGGGGGCTCAGGAACGGCAAGATTCCCTCATATTCTGTCATCTTTGCCATGCAGATGTTTGGGGCCGACTGAAATAATCGGTTGCAGTGTGAAGAAGGCTTGGGTGAGCAGCCCAAGTGCATGCTGGGTGCATGGCTGCCATTCCCACCGCTGAGCTGCTCATTTGTCTCCAACTGGGAACTGCCATTGTTGCTGAGCTCTCTTGTCAAAGCCTGGCAACTGAATGGAGGGACTGCCTTAATTCCAGGGCTTCCCTGAACCACAGGGCTGTCCCACACCCACTGCCCCCTGGGCTTGAGGCAGCCTTCCTTACTGTTCATTTTCAAGGAGCCATATGCCCAATCCTCTGAGGACCACCGTGGGACCCCAATGAAGGAAGTGAGGTGGGCAGAGCTCAGGCCACACCACCCAGACAAAGGCTTGTGTGGCAGGTGGTGGGATGGCAGCCCCAGCTCATCAGGCTGCCTGTCCCACCACCCAGACCCTGGGGAGTCCCTGGCCCCTGGGCCAATGTACTTACTTTCCTGAGCGCTTCCTCGGGGGAGGGCTCCTCTTGTTGTTCCTGCTCAGGACAAGTACCCGGCGGGGAGGCTCCAGCTCCCTGGATAGCTTGGAGCTAAGACAAGAAGTAGCTGGTTGGACAGCAGGCTCCACCCTGGGGGTTCCCTCCCAGGGGCCCTGGGGACTCAGGAGCTCATACACCCTTCCTTCAACAGGTCTGGTGGGAGGCTGACTCAGACAACAGGCTCTCATGGACTGGTGCTGGGGATTCCCATGTTTGTTGCCCCCACTGCCTACCCCAGCTCACCTTTCCAACTCATTTAGGCGGTTCATGTTGTTAAACCAAGATACGAAGTTCATGTCAGGAACCACCTGGAGCTCCTGACATGAGCCCTTTAGTTCCTTCATTAGTGCCATCACCTTGAATTCCTGGTTGAGAGAAAGGACACAGTGGTGATGGACCTGGACCAGGGCAAGGCAGGCCAGGCAGCTGACTTCGGGTCTTCACTTGGCTTCACTCTTGTCTCTCCCCAACACACTCGCCTTTCTCTACTGAGATCCAGTGCCCAACGCCAGCACGCTGTCCTAGATCCCCAGCTCAAGGCCCCATCTCCTGACCTCTGGAGGACAAGTGATGTGACCATCCACATCAGAGGGAAGGAAGGACCTAAGGGACCCGCACAGCTGGCTGCCTGCAGAGGAAGGTGTCATTTTCTCACCTCTCGTCTTCTTTTTACATTCAGCCAAGAGCCCTGCAAAGCAAAGAATATGTGCTAAGAAAATGCTGTTTCCACTTGGCGCCCTACCAAGTCCTTCCAGCAGAGGGCAGGCTGGGTGCACAGCTGGACTAGGATTGCTCTCAGTCTAGGGCAGGGAGGCCTAGGTCCTGAGGACAGGGAGCTCACTGCTCAACTCTCTGTGCACATGGCAGAGACTTGAGGCTTCCAGTGACAAGGCCATGCTATTCACACATGCTATGTCAGCTTGAGCACCTGCTGTCACACTGCCACCCTTGCTCACCACCCTCTGAGACATGGCCCCATGTCATCAGCAGCACTGAGGTCTGAGGGCATAGGGCATCACAAGTAGGATTGCTGTGGTGCTTGGCACTCTGGGGCTGGGGAGGACGTGGGCTCTTGCTGGAGGTCAAGGGGCAGGGAGAGGCTCTTTGTCCCCAATCTGCTTTCCCAGGGCTGGGGCCCTGTTCACTCACATCCTTGGAATCTTGGTCTTTGTGCAGTGAGGCCAGGTGTGTGAGGACGGTGCCCAGGTAAGGGACTGTGCCCTCGGGATAGTCCTGTGGCATTGGGTGCAGAAAGATCAGAAGAGTCCTGTTAAGCTCCTCGCAAGAACCCGACTTACCCCAGTCCCATGGAGCCATCTATCTAGCAGAACTTGGGGCAAGACAGGCTCATTCCTCAATGATCCACCCTCTACCCCATACCAAAGACACAGCCCTGCATGGGGAAATCTATCTAGGTCTGGGCCCCTCCAGGGCTGGCACTTGACACACGGGCAAGGTCTGTGGCCCTGCCCTTCACCTGCTCCTCTACTCTTGTGCAGGCCTTAGTGCTGTGGCTGCAACTCATTGCTGCAACATGCCATCTGAGCAGAGGCCAGGTGTGATGGGGCATTAAGGGAGTGGGCCAACAGGTCGGTTGGGTTGGGGGACCCCCCTCAACTACTCCTTCTAGAAAGCCCCTGGCCTCAGGCATGCACACTCACCAATTGTTGAGGCTTCTTGCAGCCTCTCTTGAGTTTCTTCCAGAAGCTCTTGTATCTGGACTCTCGCCCCTGGCAGCAGTTAGCATGGATGTAGAACATACTCCTTCTCTAACCATTCAACCCTCCAAAGTCCCCTCTTGCCGCAAATGTGGTGTGACAGCCATGGCTTGGGCCCTAGGATCTCAGGCTCCCTGTGACCATCAGCACTGTATCCCTGGGCAGGCCAGAGCATATGCCAAGGCCTGTCTCCATGGTGGATGTGGCCATTTGCATCCCCTAAAAGATGTTTCTGGGGCTGCTTGATCTGAAGGGACATCTTGACCTCACATGACTGGCTAGGCTTCCCTCCTGGGACGGGAAGGCCACCCAGAAATAGAGCCAGGGCATGGCTTGGCCGTGCCAGGCTGGCGGGGTGTAGAGAGGCAGCCTCAACACAGGCCACACTCAGGAGGAAGCTTGACAGGAAATCTCAGCAGCAACCTTGACAACCCAACCCTGTCACTTTCTCCACCCTCCTCAGACACCCAGGTGGCCTCCTCCACTCACTCCACGGGGTCCCCAGGGACCTCCTCTTCCCCATACAATCTGTCCCCCACCCAAGCCCACGACGGATGCTTCTCCTAGCTATGTTGGATATGCTCCTTGAATTCCATCAGAGAGAAAATTTCCCTCGCCTCCGTCCGAGGGTCAAATCTTATTCCGGGGCTCATACAACCTTGTACACTTGCTCCTGGCAGTGTATCCTCCTCAGCTCCTGATAGACAGCTACTCTCTCCCTGGACGATGGGCAGAGACAAGGTGACAGATGGGAGAGGAAGGGAGAGGAGGAGTGTGAATGGATTTCCCATTTGGAGGCAGGACTTTATGCTAATGGGAACAGGGCTGTGCAGGGAGAGCCACTGTGACCCTTAGGTCACATGGTTAGGAACAAAGTCTTGAGGGGAAACCTCCAGCTCCACCCCAATTCCCAGAGTGGTTTTGCTTGGAAGAGCACTGCACAGACTGGTGTAGCTGTGATGTCTCTGAAGGAAAACGTCCCCAAGGGCCTTGTGCAATGTATGGCAGAAGAGGAATCCCAACCTAGCAGGCAAATCCTAGGCAAGGCCATAGAGCTGTGGTCTCTGCCATGGGGCACTGCCATTGGGCTCCCAGGAGATGGACGCTAAGCTGAGGAAGCAAGGGTTGCCCAGGAGAAAGGTGTACCCACCTGCAAACCAATCTCCACGTCTTCTTCAGGCCTTGGAGCTGGCTGCTCTGCAGAGCACACACGATTGCAAATAAGGTGCAGATATTTTTTCGTAGGTGGCACTCCTAGGAGTGAAGAATGGGTGAGGAGAGCTGTGGAGGAAACTCCTGGGCTCCCCTGCTTGGCCTGGGGCTGGGCCTTTGTTACTAGGCTGAACTGGGACAGCTTGGGGGAGGGGAATGGCAGTGAAAGCAGGGCAGGAATGCACACAGCCCAAGTGAGGGCAGAGTAGGAGGAGGGCTTTAAGGCTAGGCAGTGGCTGTGAGTGAGCAGGCAGCCACTTGGTGGGAGTGGGAAAGGGAAGAAGGGTCCCTGGGCCCCTCCTGCTCATACCAGAGCCACCTCTATCCAGTGCTGCACCACTTGGGCTCTCTCTGCTGCCTCCATGCTGTGGTCCCCGAGGCACGTGGTGATCACACAACTGGAGACCTGCTCACAGTGCTCCAGTATGGGAAGCAGAGTGGGTGCCAGGCGCTCCAGACACTCCTCCTGGTCAGCTTGTACATACACGTAACTCAAAAGGTGGTAAGGGATGAGTCTTTTGAACAGTTTCTGAAAAGATGAAATGAATGGTCAGCATGACTCTGCCCTGAGGCAGGTGTGGCAGTGGAGGTGCAAAGGAAAGCCCGCACGCCCAGTCCTGCCAAGCTACTTACGACGGCCATGATGGAGAACTGATCTGCCTTCTCTTCGGGCAGCCAATCTAGCACTCGAGCTGTCTCCTCATCACTGTCTAACTCCAGCATGGACATCCGGGCTGGCCCCCTGGAGGAAATCTGCACATCCTCCATCTCCACGCACTCCCAGGGAGCCGGGTCTATTTCCGCAGGCCTGTCTGCCTCGCTAGCTGGTGGGCGAGCAGGCTCTTGCTCGGCAGCACAGGTCAGAGCACCATCGGCGTCTTCAGCCACTGGCGGCTCATAGTATTTGTCAGAATAAGTAACTGGATGAATGTCCCCTCCTACGCCTGTGTCAGCTTCCAGCTGCACAGATGGGACGGGTGTTACATCCCGGCTGGGCGGCAGAGGCTCCTGTACGGGTGGCTCTGGCTGCTCAGCAACAGACTCAAGGCAGTCAGCCTCTCCAGCAAGCGGGAAACACTGCACTTGCTCCCCAGATGGACCGAGAGACTCCACTTGCTCCCCAGATGGACCCAGAGACTCCCCTTGCTCCTCAGATGGACCGAGAGACTCCACTTGCTCCCCAGACGGACCCAGAGACTCCACTTGCTCCCCAGATGGACCCAGAGACTCCACTTGCTCCCCAGATGGACCGAGAACAGACTCCAGGCTTTCATCTCCTGGAGCCTCTAGCTCTGGCCCTGAGCTGCTCACTACAATAGGTTTGGAGGGCTCTGGTTGAACTGCAGATGCGTCTCCTTCTTGGGCGGGTTGCAGAATTGGGTCACACTGGCCTTCAGGCAGCTGGGCTTCTGGAGTGGGCACTGGCATACCCTCATCACTGGCATGTATTGGTGCATCAATGGCTGGCTCTAGAGCCATTGCTACCACTGCGCTAAGTGCCCCTGGCACTGAGGGATCAGCCACTCTTTCTTCATTTGAGTATTGCAGGTCAAGATCCAGACTTGGTGCTGGAGATGGTGCAAGGCTGTGGGCCATTGGCTGACCTGCAGGTGGATTGATCTCTTCGGTCACAGTTGACGGAGGTGAGTCAGAACATCCGTCTGCATGGGGTTCTTGTTGGAGCTCCACTGCAGCTCCTGGAGCTGAGGGGGCCTCTGAGGCTACAGCTAGTTCCAGCTCTGACTGACATGGTAGTACTGCTTCTACGCAGGGTATTGGATCCAGTGGGTGTACAGTGGTTTTCTCATAAAGCCTGGCAGTTGGTGGAACAGCTGCAAGAAAAGATCCCCTACAGCACTGCCTTCCCCTCAGTCATTCCTACGGCCACGAGACCCCTGCCTGCTGAGAAGCCCTAGTCCCTGGACTCCACCCCAGGAAGCCCTGCCAGGACAGGTTTCATGCCAAGGCATCCAGGTTCCCTGGCTGTCCTGTTGATGGCCCCATGGTAGCATGGGAGCTGCCTTCAGGTGGACAAAGCTTGGAATCCCACACCTGTTCTCTCCTTTGCCAGCCCATGCTACTCACCCTCCAGCTCTGGCTTCTTGAGAAGCATGTGCTCCAGCTGGCTGAGCAGAAGGCGGGCCTGCTGTTCCTCAACAGAGCCAGGCATATTGAGGTGTAGATATGTTACCAGGTGTTGCAGGCAGGACGTGTCCGGTGCTCCAGTGAAGTCTTCTGGGTACTCCCTCATCCAGGAGCCCAGTATGAAGGAGAAGGCTCTAGGTGCAGAGGGAGAAGCAGCAGAGTCAGAGGCTAGGCCTACCCTCCTTTCAGACCCCCTCAAACACAGGTGTATGAATTGGGCTCCTGGGCCTGCCCATGCCCATAGCCCATAACGGGCCTGGTCACCTGGCTGCACTACACACATTGTCTACACGAGCGATGCAACAAGACCTACATCACAGATGAAACCATCCCACCCACACCCACCGCCTGGTGTCCCTGGGCATGCTCCCCAAACTGTCATCTCTGGGGTGCTTTGTCCTGTTGCTTGTTATCTCCAGAACCCAGAATCTCCTCACTTGGGCAGCCTCTAGTGGCCTCTAGTGGCCTCCTGTTCACATAGAGCCAGGTGTCAACAGTCTTGTCCTGACTCTCAACCCAAACAGCACATCCTGGCCCTTGAGCACTCACTGAGGCCCCTGGAATCTCAGGGGATTGTCCATGATGGCGCAGTGTCGCCCTCCCCGTTCTGTGTGGTCCTGAGGATTCCCAGGGCAGGCAAATGGGACTGGGTTGGTCACATGCCAGAGGCTTCTCCCACCCTCCATAGGCACCACAACAAGCACACACAATCTCTGCAGGGACACATTTCTACCTGGACTTGAGCCTTCCCCTCAGGAATCTCAATTTCCCTTTGCCCAGGCCTCCCAAAGCCAGCTCTTTGCAACCACCCCTAAGACACATGCCCTCCCTCCTCCCCCAGACACACTCACCGCTGCAGGTGCTCCTGCGCGCCTGCCTTCTCCTCCTCATATTCAAGGAAATGACTGTATCTAGGGGACACCATGAGAATGTCAAACATACTGTGTCTGCACATGATGTCTACAGTCCCAGTGGTCTCTCTGAGCACAGGATGGAGCTCAGGATGACAAGGATTTCCCTGTTCTTTCACTGAGTGGTGTCAAGCGTCTGGAAATGCATCCCCACACAAGATGATGAGCCCATTAGCTTCCTCCCCCACACACACCTCAATGGGCATGGGGTCTCTCAGTGTTTCCCCTGGGCTTCCGAGTGAGGTTCAGGTAGGTCAAGATGCCCAGATGGAACATCAACCACCACTGTCAATTTGGAAAATGCTTTTCTTGAGGTCTTATTCATAGGAGGCCTCGATGTAGAGAGGAGTTCTTCATGAGAGAGGGGCTTCTCCCAGCTCCGCCCACATCCCTGCGCTCCCTAGTGTGTAAGGTCATGATGTGGACAGGCCTGTTCAGGACCCATCCCACCCCTCCAGCCTCAGGCAGTGAGGATGTTGCTCCTAGCATGCCAGTAGTCAGGATCCAAGCAGATCCTTACTGGTGCAGCACATGCCAAGGCCTAGCCAATGGACCCATCCCTAGGATCAGAGGTGGCACTTACCTGTTGAACAGCAGGTTCAACACGTGATGGGCAGTCGTGAAAGTGCGGTATGTCCCCAGAAACACTGGGACAAACACAGCATCTCCGAAGAGCAGGGCAGGCACTAAGTGGTCTACTAGCTTCTCCACTTTGCCTCCCTGCAGGTATCCTGCTTTGCAGGGATCAGGAAGGGTGGGGGCTAAAACCCACTCTAACTGCTGTGAAGAAATGAGACACAGTTCAAACATAGAAACAGCAGCACACTGGGAAAAGGCTCAGGGCCATACAATGAAAATAACCTGGGGACACACACACACACACACACACACACACACACACACACACAAACTCATGTATTTACACCCCACTCAAGAATGTAAACACATGGCATCTGAGGCTGCCAGAAGGTAGTAGGTTAGGGGACTCGCCCTCCCTCCACACCCTCCTTCTTCCTTGATTCACCCGTGGGATACATGGTGTAGATCTTCTCAGGCGACTGGGACAAGGGATGACCCAGCGTCTTCGAACAATATCGAACTCGCTTTGTGGCGCTGTTCTGTAGAATAGCGGGCAACAGCAGGAGAACATCCTGCTGTCCCTCCGCTTTCCATACAGCTCAGCTGGTTCAGCTGATAACCAGCACCAACTCCTGCTGGCCCTTTGTGACATCATCTCTGGAGATAACATCATCAATGAAGGGAAGTCCCCTCTTCTGAACTCAGCCTCAGACCAGACCTCTGCAAATGTCCCCTGGGTGCTAACTGGGCCCCATGGCAGGGCAGGAGCCAAACTAGATACACTCCACATACACAACCAACTGTCCTCTGTCTAGTTAATGTCATGGTTATGAGGACACACTTAATGAGTTCCCACCAGATCCCTCCTACCAGTTTAAATGTCTCCTCATGTACAAGTGCCTGTGTTTGCCTGCCTCCCCCAGTCACCCATTCATTCCTAGTGCTTCCACCCAGCACCTGCTTGAGCATATTATACACTGAATAAGACCCAGTATCTATCCAATGCTTGGGAACCCTACAGCTGGTGTCAGTCATTTTCACTGCACTCTTGTAGAGATTCAGTCCCTGCACATGGTGTCTAGACAGAGAATAAACTGCAAACCACTTGTCCTTGCCTAGGCCTCTCTTTCCTGTAGTAGGAGCCTCCAGGAGGAGGATACCAAGTTCAAGGAGGATAACTAGGCAAGAGATTCTATCTCAAATCCATGCAAGCCAACAATGAACGACAAAGAAAAAGGAAAGGCAACATCTGAGCTCTATGTGGGGGTGAGAATTTCACAAGTGCACACACAGATGAGGTCTTCTCTATTTGGAAGCCTACCCATGAGAGACTCCCTTGTTCAACACACCTATTGAGAGAGGTACACACATGACCTCACATGGACACATAGACACAGATTCATCCACACAGGCACGGTGGCACACGTCTGTGTTCATTCATATGGGTCCTCACGTGCGCATACTGGAGCTCTACCTGCCACAAGGTCTGTGTGCGAATGAGAGGGTGGGTGAGATGGGAAGCTGAAAAGAATGGGGAGTTTGTTCAGTGTCCTGTATCCTCAGCTCTCTACTCTTCTGGAGAGTCAGAGAGTGTGGCAGCCTGGGATCCAAGAGAATTTGAGGCCAATCTCTGGGCTCATTTGGTGGCCTGATGGAGTGACCAGTGTGGGCATGGAGAGCCAGTGATTTCTGCACCATGTTCACTGAGGTAGAGGTGGAAAGGGCACAAAGGGATCGGGCTACCAGAGTGGATTGGGCACCACTCAGCAACTAGGGCTGAGAATATTCGGCTGCCACTGCTCATGGGAAGAGGAGTTAGAGTGAGAGCAGCCTGGACGTGGAGTTGGTTGATGTGGAGAAAAGTGGAGATGGGAGGCCTTCACTTTTCAAGCAACAGGGAAGTGGACAGGCGCCTCCACCACGGGGATCCTGGCAGGGGAGGGAGAACCTTGGCATCCTTTGCCTCTAGATTCCTAGGTGTGCCCTTCCCTGTCTGCTCCTTCCCTAGGTCCACCATCTCCCTTGCTCAAGATGTCACAGTCAGGGCTGAGAAGGTGGCTCAGTGGTACAGTGCTTGCCTTGCATGCCTGAGTCCCTGGGTTCGAATCCTCAGGACCACATAAGCAGAAAAGCCAGAGGTGGCGCTATGGCTCAATTTGTAGAGCCCTAGCCTTTAGTTGAAGAGCTGAGGTACAGCACAGAGGCCAACAAGTTCAGGCCCCATGACTGAAAACAAAAATGTCACAGTCAGTGCCCAAGACTCTGATGATGGCAACTTATGCTCACTGGCATGGTTCGTGCATGCAGGGCCAAGGAGGTCTATGCATTCAGCCTGACTGGGAGCCATGGTGGGGGCTTTTTCATGGGAAACAGAGGCCAGGGTTTCCTGCTCTAAAGCCACCCAACAGAAGCCCTTGAGGTAACCCTCCAATGTGGTTTCCACCTCCATCACCAGGACCATGTTACTGGTCCTGCCGACCATGGCGCTGATCCTGCCATCTATCCTGACGACACAGTCCCTGACTCCTCCTGCCTGCTCTGAGGAAGTGACCACTGTGTGAGGGCTGCAGGTAGAATCCAGGCCTATGACACTGATTTGATAGATCTGTGCTTATTATTTTATACCATTATAGACTTAACCATTTTTAATTTCCAAAGGCTAATATACCAGTGACAATTGTCCACCTCTTAGGATGGTGGGGAAGAACTAATAGAACCAGAAGTATGGCACAATCAATTCAGCTCCACCATGGTATGGACTTTCTTTGTACACAACTCCAAATCTCACTCCCACGATTGGTAGCGGCATACTCATCCTCTTTCTCCAACATGTTTAATGGTAAGAATGGAAGCAAACAGCCAAGAACATCCAACTGTGATGTGGTGCTGGTGGTACCCACTGCTTCTTCTCCTACTGCTCCAAGCAGCAGCACCTCTGCACCACCTCTGCCAGCACCAGGCAGTGCAGGATGAGCTTCCTTTCTGCAGCCAGTTCCTTCTAAAGACCTGGCCCCAGAGCTTCTGCACAAACAGATTTGACTCTTTCTGGAACCTGTTCTTGCTGACACCTCCACTTGGTACATTCTCCAGGGATCCAGATTTGAAATGGAACCTTCAACATCTGTTTCTTTGAAGACAGGCCCTTTCTCCTCAAGCCAGGTTGCAGATTGTAAAAAGACAGGAGAAGCCTCACTTTAGACAGCGCATGGTGGGGAGCAGGTGGGGAGGCTTGCCCACCTTCTTCAGACATGGCCTCACTGTGCACTCAGCTTCCTTGCAGCTGTGGCTCAATGTGGCAGCTCAGTGACAGCAGATGTCCATCACGCCACAGGCCATCAGAATTCTTAGTGCTCTTCTCATCACATTCTCATGACTCTCTCAACCTAAACATGCCAGAAAATACCAACAATTGGGCCCAAAGCAGACAGGGTCCTCTGTTTCCCTTCTGTTTCCCACTGAAGCTCCCACCAGAGCTCCTGAAAACCTACAAAGTATGTAAAACGCCACTTCTCCAAATTGTGACCCCTTTCTCTGGGTTGTTTCTCTTCCGATAGCAGGGAAGAGCTACGATGTCTGCCTGTGCAACAGTGAGGACATTTTCCTGGGTAAATTCTGTCCTAAAGGAAGGGTCTGGTTCATTCATAACCTGAGTATGTATGGCAATTGATGCTACCCAGTCCACTGGAGCCAGGCCTGGGCTCACTGAGGGGGTTCCTCTTTGACATCACTCAGGAATATTTACAAATGCAACTACTCACCAACCAGGGCACTGGCAATTCATTCTTCTCTTTGCAGGAAGCCACATCCACACCTGTGTCAGCATGTCAGCACATGCTTTGTGGGCATGGCCAAGGTGGCGATTCTGGAGCAAGTCCTGAAGAACCAGACAGGGCCCGTGCCTCCTTCCACAGCATCCTGAGGACCTGAATACAGGTGCTTTTGTCACTACTTCTAAATTGGATATCTGCATGAGTGGGTCTTGAACAAACTGAATACATACTTTGACAAAATTTAAACACCGCCAATAAATTAGTAAGGACTATGGTATGTGAGGACTGTGAGAAGATGCAGACAGTACCATGTGTGGTCTATACTTGTTTCTGTGTGCTTCCTGCATGGCTGGGGAGAATGCACACAGTGTGAGGACCGCAGAAAGGCAACTGGAGTGAGGACTGAAAATCCCTGGATCAGTTACTAGTTGAATAGGAAATGTTGCCTTGGTCCTTTGCTTGTGGACTTAGCTGGGGAGGTGCTGGGAACTTAGCAGTTGGGACCTAGTACAATAGATCACTGGTTAAGTGTCTGTCCTGCCCCTTCCTGTACTGTGCAGCCTGCTTTGGCTGCATGAGAGAAGCAGCCTCTGCCATTGCTCACTGCTGATGAGATGATGTCTGACTTACCACAAGCCTCTCACAACCAAGCCTGGACTGAAGAGGCCGGAAGCAAGCCAAAACACTCCTTTCCTCCTTGAAACAGTTTCTCTCCGTCACTTGTTGTAGACAAGGAAAGTCTAACAACATCCTTGCGAAGTTTCTTGACTTCTGTGCCTCAGTTGCCCCTTCAAGGAGTCAGTATACAGACTGAGACAGAAAACACTTGTAAAAGGCCAGACCGTTCCGGAGCAGGTTAATATATAAGGATTCCACTTCGGAGCATTTACCCAAATGATCACAAACAAAACCATACGAAGGCTACCAGCACAAATATGTTTATCGCAACATTATTCACCATCGCTGAGATATGGAACCAACCCAGATGTCCCTCAGTAGATGAATTGATCAAGAAAATGTGATATATATAAATATATATGTATATACATATATACATATTTAAAATGGAATTCTATGCTTCCATCAGAAAGAATGACACTAACCATTAGTTAGGAAATGGAAAGACTTGGAAAAATCATATTCACTGAAGCAAGCCAGACCCAAAGAAATATAGGCCCCATCGTTTCCCTCATATGCAATACTTAATATACATCTAGCATTATTTTGTCAGATGAGCAGAAAAGCTCAACAGCTATATACATATGACCATAGAAGATGATGCTAGGTGAAATGAACCCCAAGATATGGACCCAAGAGGTCTTCCTTTATTGTAGTTTTTAATGCACTATGTGATTATTTGGTTTCCTTTGTATGTTCTTCCCCCTATGGTATATCCCCTGTTTGTCACTCTACTTGATTTTGGTACCCTGAATCTTTTTTTTTTCACCTGTACCCTGAATCTTCTATATACATTTGTATAATTTGGGGAGGGGAAGGGAAATAACAAATCGCTGAAACAAGGACACAGGATGACCCATTGCAACAATGATACTCATAGGACAGTATATTGGAAATGAAATTTACAACTTTCCTTCTGGGGAGGACTGAGGGAGGTGGGGATGGCAAGGGATAGTGAGAGAAGAAGGGCAGGGGTAACAATGCTCGACAAGAAATGTACTCATTGCCTTACTCATATAACTGTAACCCCTCTGCACAGCATCTTTATAATAAAATAAATAAAATAAAATATAAAAAAGAATTGAAAAGGCCAGGCCATGCTACTCATGAGACATTGCCTCCTACTGCATTTGTATAGCAGGGATTGGAGGGATGACCCCTGCTTTTCCAGGCAATTCGTGTGTGTGTGTGTGTGTGTGTGTGTGTGTGTGTGTGTGTGTGTGTGTGAGTGTGTGTGTGTGAGAGTGTGTGTGTGTCATGGGGCTTGAACTCTGGGAGTGGGCACTATCCCTCAGCAATTCTGCTCAAGGCGAGCACTCTACCACTTGAGTCACATGCCAATTCCGGTTTTCTGAGAGTCAAGGGGTGTCCTGCCCAGGATTGGCTTTGAACCTCGATCCTCAGATCTCAGCCTCCTGGGTAGCTAGGATTACAGGTGTTAGCCACCGATGCCCGGCTTTTTCTAGGCATTTTATGGGCTACTATCATAATCAGCCTGTGTCCTCATTCACTCAACTATACTATCTGAAAGTAACTTAAGGAATTCTGTCCCAAGACAACAGTTATCAGTAGCTAAAAGGTGTGATGATAAGGTCCAGACAGATGCCATGTTTGAGCTCAAATATCTCCTTCTAGCAGAATGGGATAAGCTGGAGGCAGAAAGAAAATAACTGGAAACATGTGAAAGCACTCCTCCAAGGCACCATCAGAAGCCAGGAGTGTAGTCATTGGCTATGACAGCTAAAAGACACTGGATGTAAATAAACTTTAGGTAATATAAACAGTCTGATCTATCTCAGAATGTTTATCATGCCTTCAGATGTGAGGCAGTGAAGAATGGCAACATGTTTCTCACACCTCCATTTCTTCATCAGTAAAGCTACGTGAAGGGAGCTGGGAGCAGGGGTGCAGGCCTAGAGTCCCAGTTACTGGGAAGGCCGAGGTTATGAGGATCACTTGAGCCAACTACATCAGGATCCTCCTAGGAAATGCAGAGAGAGGCCATCTCTAAATTGAGTATGCAAATAAAGAAGTATACAGTAAAGATTCTAGTACTTGACCTCCGCAACATGCTTCAATTCTATAAGCAACTATTCACTTACTGGACAATGGAGGCAACACAAGTGGGACTACTTTCTAGTCTTTGCAAGCTGTCAGCTCTGCTGCACCTGGACAACTGGCTGTGGCCCTTGGGGTTTTCTCTGTTGTCACCCTTGTATATAGTGGACACAGCCTGAAGTCTCCTTCTCATAGGTTTCTCATGACTTACATCTGTCCTTGGTCTCTAGGTACACAGTGATTTACATATACTGCTCCTCTTCTTGCTCTGCCAAAGTAGCAGACACCAGGAAATGCTTACCCAAGAAGGATACCAGCCAGGTCAGGCAAGAGATGCCACTAAATGCAGGAAAGCCAAACTGCTCTTCGTCCATTGGCCAGCTGTGGGCAATCACAAATGCTGTGAGGACTAGGAAGAAGAGAATGCCTGACAAAGAGCAGGACCCAGGTACATGGGAGAGCGCATGGACACAGGGACTTTGCCTTACCAGGCAGCCAAATGTAGCCTCAAATAAGAAAGCTTCTTGTAGGTTTGAACTTCAATTTTGCTAGTAAAATGAGACATGCTTCTGGCAATAGCACACAATTCAGCTAAACAGTATGATGAAAAGATCTAGGCTTTAAATATAGGAAGTTTACATGTACTTAGGTAGACAGCTACCCTCCGCCCCCCCAAAAAAAAACGCCTCTACAATAAATGATTTAAAGTCACCCACCATCCAGGCACAGTAGAGCAAACCGTAATACAAGCTACTTGGGACATGGACACTGGAGGAGTGTGGTTCAAGACCAGCAGTCTGGACAAAAGTTACTGAGGTTCTATATCAAAGTCTATATCAAAGTATAAGGGCCTGTGGTCCCAGTACTCACAGGCAGGACTAGGAAGGTCACTGACTGCATCTGGCACCGGGTAAATGTTCAGGACCCTCTGACAAACAAACTAAAGCCAAAGGTGCTGAGGCATAGCTCATGTGTAGCAGGTAGAGAGTCCTGAGTTATTTGCCACTGCCACCAATAATGTTAAAGTCTTCTGGCAAGAGGAGAACAACCATGGTCTGCTAAGCTCCTGAAACCCAGATTCTTATCAACTCCATGTGAAATGGCGCACATCATGAAAATGGAAATAGAGAAAACAGCAACACTGGTCAGCTAGTTCAAGAGCATCAAGTTGATGGAGTGCTAAATATTCCCTTCTCTCTTCACAAAACCACACTCTGGAGAGTGTATGCACTAGAATTTCTGCCTGATTATGAAGCTGACTGCTCATCTTCGTCCTTAGCCCAAATCTTAAACAAAACCTAAACTTAAGACTTCATATACGTTATATTAAATTTGTCAATCATTTCTTATGATTCTGACATTAACACTTAAAACAATGAGCGTGTTCTAGAGAATGACATATACAAGTTGTAGCTGGGTGCTGGCAGCTCATGTCTAGAATCAGCTGCAATCTGGAATCGTGGTGTGAAGTCCATTGGGTCAGGAAAGCCTGTGACGCTCATGTTCATGAACCACAGAAAGCCAGAAATGGAGCTGTGGCACATGGTTGGAGTGCTAGCCCTGTGAGGAAAAGCTAAGGGAGAGCACACAGACCCTGAGTTCAAGCCCCAGCCTTGACACACAGAAAAATTCTGAGGAAGCACACATAAAAATTCATGGAGGCACTAGGACCTAAATGAAGCATCAAACTTAGAAGCAAAATCAGCTCCCTCCAGGCTGCTCACTATCTTCTGAAGTTCATCTCCTCTGAACACCTTACAGAACAGCTCCTACCACCTCCTGCCACAAACTGAATCTAACCTGGTCCTGGCTGGTATGTGAGCTCAATGCCTGTGACCTTCTATTGCTTTACCTGTTCTGAAGGTAATAATTACCAACTTTACATGGCTATTATGTGAGTTTCTGACACATATTGTTATCCTCCTTGTCATAAGTCTCCTATATCATTTTCAAACATCTGGACAATGATATTCCATTGTTTTGAAACTCATGAGGAGATAAAGCATCTTATCACCCATTGAAGTCCAGGATCCTAAAGATTTTCCTTCTCTAATAAAAGCCACTCAGATGGTCCTGATACCCATATGAGCATTCATCCAACCACAAGAGCAGGTATCTCTAACAGGGTCCTTTTCTCCTATTCTTGCTCAAAGAATGACTACCATACAATAAATGATCCAATGTACAATACATGAAATACTGTGCACCCAGCCAATGTTCCTCTAACTTCCCAGACAAGGAAAGGAGCTGAGTGTTCAATGAGTCTACAGACTAAAACTGACCTGTGAAGAGAAGGGACCCTTTGAGCAGTTCTTTCCCCAGGACTTCTCTTTGCAGGATTGCAAATTCCTCCATCAAGAGTTCTCTGTGTTCTTCCTGTATGACTTTTCCTGTCATGACAAAAATCGGTTACACAAGCCAGTTTGAAGTACTGGGTACAGGTGCACATCTTGAGAGGCTGTGTCAGCCTCAGGACAGGACAGGATACGTGTCCCTTAGAAATATTTCTCTTAGCAAGGTCCCAGTGTCTCACTACTGTAATCCAAGCTACTCTGCGATCCTTGGACTGGCACAGAAACAAGTACTATCCTGGCCAGGTGTCTAGGCTCTCCCCACACCTCCTCCCATGTGCCAGCTGAAGGAGACTCCAGGTGGAAGCTCAAAACAAATAAAACTCTAAGAAAGCACGACGGTAGCCACCTGTCTCCAAAGACACCATGAAACTTCAGAAGTGTCTGAGAGCCCACAAGGGGTTAATCTGGGTTCTGGAAAGGATTCAGTTACACACACACACACACACACACACACACACACACACACACACACATCTATGACCTGAACAGGAAGGAGTTAGGCAAACTAGAGGAAGGGAGATAATGTGTGACTCTATTAAAACTGAAGGAACCATGATTTATCAAATGATCATGTCTTCAGGATCACTGAGAAACATTATTTAAATTGTTGTACAAGTAAGATGTTAACAGTTTTTGATGTGTGGTGGAATTTTCATATCAAGATGTGATGTTTCCCTGTATGTAAAACAAACAGGCTCACAGGTTGTTTGAGTTACACAAATTATCTAGAATAAAATAGAACACAGAGCCAGGCACCAGTGGCTCACAACTATAATTCTAGCTACTCAGGAAGCTGAGATCTGAAGATCAAGGTT